CTGCCTTAAATATGGGTATGATTTTTGACATTTTAAGTTTCGCGGGATACTTGTATGTTCCAAGTGATATAGGTGAATTAAAGATTTGTGCTAAGACATGACTTAGAACGTCACTTGCACACTTCAATGCCAGAGTAGGGCAGGAGTAGGGGCCGTGTGACTTATTGTTAGGAATAGAAAATATTTCCAGGCGAATTTCAGCTGGAGTGATGGGTTGAAAAAAGAAGGATGAGACGGGTGATTTACATTTCCCTAAGAAATCAGTGAAACATTTTGGAGTTGAAGGTAATTAATTTGCTAATTTTTGTCCCAATGTTGCAAAATGCTCATTGAGAATATTAGGTAATATTGGGAGTCGGGTCACGGGAGACCTCATTATTGTTCTTGAAGTCCTTTAGTGCACTAATTGATTTATTCTTCTTGGTTTTATGATTCAATATGTTATTTATTCCCATCCAAGTTTTTTCATATTATTTATGTTGGCCTCGAAATATTCAAAGAAATATTGCTTTTTACTAATTCATGTTAGACTGCAGATTTTATTTCTATAAAATTTATATTTAGCGTCATTGCCAGATAAATATAGCTTGTTTTTAATCTTAATTGAAGTTCTTATTCCTTTAGTTATCCAAGGTTTAGAGCATTGTTTCGCCTTGCGGCGTGAGAGTGTCCTCATAGGTGCATGCTTGTTTACAATTTTGTTGAACTCGCTGTAAAAAGAGGAAAACATCTTATCCATGTCATTTGTTGCATTGGAGAAACATGCTACTCCAATTAACTTGAGAAAGGTCATGATTAAAACAATCTGCGGAAAATTGTGAGTAATCACAAACTTTGGTTTTTGGGGATTTTGTAGGCTTTTCCCTAACTGATTTCATAATGCAAAACTGAGCAAAATGATCACTTAGGTCAGTAATCAAATGGGTGGCTAAATTGTTCTGAACACATGTTGGTTTATCAATGGTAGGAATGAGATAACAGCTTTGGAGAGCTACCACGAAATCATGACTATACCGAGGTCTCAAATTTTAATAGGTCAATGTTGAAATCTCCTATGATATAGAGTTGTTTTCCAGTTGAAGTTAATTTTTCAATGGTTTCTTCAAAATAGCTTTGAAAGCGGTCAGGAGAGTTATGTTGTCTGTACATGACACCACAAAACTGTTCAACAAACTCCACATATTGTAGTGGCCTTCTGTTGAATGGGACTAGCCTTATAGTTGGAATATCCTTGCTTGCTTCCAACTTGTATAACGCATCTGTGATAGACATTTCACGTACAGCAGATGAAAGACATGTTTCTTCAAATTCCACCAGATCATTTATCCAAGCATCGACGGGACAGGCTATTTTAGGAGGTTGAATAACTCCAGATCGTGTGACTTTAGGTTGGCAGGAAGAACTGATGCTGAGCCGCTTTCTGTTTTTGGTTGTCCCAACGAGCTTTCTTTTGAAAATGCATTATTAGCAGACGATTCGTTTCGCTGCAAATTGTTATCAACTTTGGAGAGAAACTTGCTTCCAAATCTATGTGGCCATCTATGGCGGTGGTGGATCATGTTCCTCCAAATGGCTGCTCCCTTGTGTGGTTGAAGGCCCTTGTTGTTGAGCAATGCCAGTAATGTCTTACTGTTGACCACTCGGGCTATCCAAATTCTCGCCAGCTCCATGAGATGCACTTGGCTCTGAACTTTCGCTCCCTTGTGCAATTAAACCAGGGCATTTCTTACTGAACGAAGCTGGCGGTGGGAACACTGACTTATTGTTAACCACTAGCAATTGGGCCACCCAGTGTTTTGAAGTGTGTCTCAACTTCTTCTTCAATACCAAAGACATTGTCGGTGAGCAAATTTTCCCACTCGTCTAACTTCGGAACTTGGCTGAGGTCTACATAGCCGTAATGCTCAGCATGTACATCACGTGGCAGTTGAAAATCTTTTTGCAACTCCTCGATTTCCATTTCTATACGTCGTTTTGTTTGGTCCTAATCTGTAATAAATTTCGGACCCTATTTATCGTATGCGTGACTTTACCTCTGAGTTGCTTTCTCTTATTTTTCAGCATTCGGGGAGGGTTCTCTGGTCCCACTGAACTCAACTTAATGCTGAGAGGATGCAATAACTTCTTCACCATCGGACATAGTTCCTTGACTTGTTTGTTCCTAATTACCGAAGATGCATATGTCCTTGTTGCTTATAGGTCAGCTCTGCTACTTGGACGAGGCTTGTTGCTCTTCAGAAATTTTGGTGCAGAAGGCGACAAATGTATCAAACCACCATAGATTTCTTTAATCTTTATTGTAGTTGATTATTAGATTCTGAAGAGTGGATCTCTGTGGCTTGGAAGAACTAATACAATGAAGGTTAAATACAACTGAATGTTCGCAGTACTGACGCTGATCGCAACTGAAGTCGAAACCTAAAATTCTAGTCCTAAAACAAACTATTCATGAGCTGTCTAATAAAGGAAAACACAATTGCTAAACTATTTAAGACCAACAGAGAAACAGAGAAAAATAATCACGCATTGTTCAAAGTCACGCATTCTTTGTAAATCACGGGCTGTTCGTGTTCATGTTCATAGATCATGCAACGAAAATAGAACTGTTCATAACGGTGGTCTGCAAAAGAAGCTGAAGCTAATTTAAAAGTGGATTTGGCTTATTTGATAATTCACCTAATTCAAGGTCAGTGAAAATTGTTTTGAGGTCAGTGAAAAGTCAGGGAATTTTTTGGGTTCTAATAAGTGGCAACCCTGATCAAGTATCATTTAAAAAATGAAATAATTGAACAAATGAAGTGGCAGCATAACTTTTACATGCTAAAAGAACCTTTCCTCCAAAATTTTAGGTGACCTGTGTGTCAAGGTTTTTTTGACAATTAAACTTCAGAACATAAAAGGCATTAGGATATTTTTTGGGAAATCAGCTTCTCCTAAACATTTTGCTGAGTCTAGCTATGAATTCCTTCTTGAAAGCTTTCCATCAGCTTTACATTCCTATAGAGGTACTGATTACTCAAAAAAAAAAGATGGGGGTGTGAATCATGCAAGACAATGTTATTTATGATCTTAAAAATACATCCTGTTCAACATACTCTTCCAAGCGTTCAGTTAGTTGGGGTGCAGCGCAAAAAACGGTGCAGGAAAAAATAAAAAAGCACAATGAGAGGAAGTAAAAGAACGCCTGTGGGCAAACTTAACAAAAGGTCCTTCCGACCACTTATAGACCGACTACTGGGACCTGTAACATGACCAACGGCTTGTGGCTTTCAGTTGTCAACCTTATTTTGAATGCAAGTTAACAACATATTCTGGAATATTTCAAACTTTCTCCCTCAAAAGCCAACACTTGGAGACTTTAAAAGATATCTTGCAATAGAGACAAGCCTAAACAAAGTATAAACACTACATGGCAAATCAAAGAATTGTCAAACTCTGCAAAGCGAAAGGTCGATCGACTGAAAACAGAACGGCAAATGTACATATGTCATGGTGGGAGTCGTGTAGGTCCGTCAACCCCATTCATTATCGCCAGGAGTGCTAGACAAACCACCATGATCATGGAGATGGTGCGAACTTTTACATTCAGTGAAGAAATAACTCGTAGAAAGAGTTGAAAGATTAAACTCTTTCCAAAAACCGGTGGGAAGGATTGCAAAGACATCTTCCATAGACCATATTTTTTATGCAATCCTTCTGTTCTTAGTGAAGGCATTCCACATGAGGAAAATCTTTTTTTAGTGTGATGTTTATCACAGATTTGAACGCCACATCACCCGTTGAAAAGTCTCTGACCGCCGCCCTATTGCATTCTCATCTACGTCAGTAACACTCAAGTGTTGACAAAACCTGTCAAAATTGACCAATCAGAGGGTATACCAGATCCTCGTATACCGGAACAACCTTTAAAGTGCACTTAACCCCCATTTTTTTTTCCGCTAAAACAAATCTACCTGTTATTTGAAATACTTCTGTGAGAAAATTTTTGGATTCAGTTAAAACCTCAATTTTCTGTGCCCTGATGAAATCTCGAAAGTAGCTCCAAAACACCACCATTTTGTTTCACGACCATGTTTGAGGAGAATCGATCCAGCGGCTGTTTTGACACCTGCTCGCAGGGTATCCATGAGTCTTCTTTCCTGCTTTTCGTTTGCCTGCTCCTCCACTTCATATCTAGCTCTCCATTCCTAATATACAAGCAGCTCATCCGCAAAGAAGTCTTCCCCTTCGTCGCTTGAAATATTGCAAATTGTTCTCAAAGCTGTAAGCAGTGACTTCACAGTTGTCGAAGTTGTTGTCGTGCTCGATCGAAGTTTATTTTGGAGTCTTCCAAATCAGAACTTAACTCTGACTCCAGTGACAGAAGAGAAATGATTCTGAAACTAAACGTGGACGTTTTAGTCCCAAAATATATTGGAACAATTAGTTTTGTTCTCCACTTTCTCAAGCAAATACAGAGATCTGACTGAGACGCCATTGTGTTTAGTCCCTGGGTAGACATCATCAGCAACCACTGCCCCAGACTCCCTAAAACGCGGTCGCACAACACTTCAAGCACAACTTTGAAAGGGCGTAGAAAATCGAGGATTCAACCAAATTCAAAAATTTTTTCACCCAAATGCTTCGAATAACAAGGGATTTGTTTTAGCGAAAAAAAAATTGGGGGGTTAGGTGCACTTTAAGTTTGCCCACAGGCGTTCTTTCGCTTCCTCTTGCCACACTTTTTTTTATTCTTTTTTGTGCAACGTTTTTTGCCCAGTGCCCCAACTGACTGAACGTCTGGAAGAGGCTATTGCTTTTCCCCTTCCCTCCCCACCACTGAAAAATACAGAATCGCATCAAACTTCAAAAAATACTTCAATTTGCTGAAACCAAAAAATCCATCTATGATGTTGATTTGGAATGGTGAATTCGATTTCTGTTAACCATGCTTTTGCTTATACTGCCGGCATTAAATGAATTTCCAAGTAGTGACCACATAGGTTTTTCTCTCTCCACAGTTCAAGAATGCAGAAAGTTATTTGCAAGCGTTTCACGGAAAAAGTCTGCCAAGGTACAATATACATTTGGTGTACCATTATAGTGCAGAATTTGATCTACAGCAGTTCAAATTGTTTTTTCCTCTTTTATAAATCAATGTTATTGAAACTGAAGGGTGTTACTTACTTTGTACAATACTTAAAGTAATTTTATTGTCCTTTTTTATTTCAGTGTGTAGCAACATTTCGGAGAAAATCGCAATTGTCCAAGACCCTGGTAGAAGTCCTAATGGATGACAGTGTTTTACCTTATTTTATGGAGTATATGCAAAAACAAAATGCTACAAATCTATTAAACTTTTGGCTGACAGCAGAAACGTTTAGACTTTCAACTATAAGTCGCTTAAGAATTAACTCTATGTCAAGGTTAAAATCTTCGAAAGGTGAGACTGCTAGTGCCATTCCAGATGGAGATGTGACTGCCTTGCCAAATTCTTTGCTTTTGTGTAGCATGGGGAATTCTTTAAATCAACCTAACACTTGTGGTAGTCCAAGTGAAGTTGCAGATCAGTCATGTATTTTAGATGGTGACAATAACGAGTTTGGTGACTTCACTAGTTATGAGCCAGAGAGTTTTACTTCATCAATTCCTATGGAAAAGAATAGCAGTGAAGTTTTGTTGCTATGCAACAGTTGTGGACATATAATCAACCCCACCTCATCAAACAAAGATGTATGTGATCATTGTGGACATAAACGAACTTCTAGTGATAACACTTCCATTTCTAGTAATTTGAACCACTCTAGCAATCAAGAGGCACGTTTCAGTTACTGTAGTGGTTTACTTGATGGTTTAAATCAAATGAACTTGAGTAACCAGGCAGAGGGAGAAAGCATTCAAGGTACTACAAATTACATCAATAATGATACTGGTCGGAGACAAATAGGAATTCGATCATCAAAAGTTACTTTTGACCTGACACCAGACTTTGAAAATGAACAACATGGGTTTTGCGGAAGAAGGACAAGAAGTATAGTTATAGATGCTGTCAGTATTTATAGCAAGTATATCTCATTAGAGGCATCAAACCCAATCGGGCTGGAGGAATCCATCCGACGTCAGGTTGAAAGTAAGTGGAACAACTAAAATTGATTAATAATCATCTACAAACAGTAAAACTTAGTATGGGTCACTAAAAAATGTTCATAGTATGTGAAAGTTTGAAACTACTTGACATACTCAAACTCAATCCTGATAAGATTTAAGTTGATTTTATCATTTTTTTAACAGTCAATATCTGTAGTGAAGATGGAAGGATTTGTCCAGATTCCTTTCAGCCAGCACAGGTGTTTGCATATGATGTAATGGAAAGGATGTAAGTTGACATATTTGCAGTTTTTTGTCTCTGTGAGCCTGATAAGCCAAGCTCCACTGCTTCATTAGTCTCTCTTTTTGTCTTTAGAGTGTGCAGTTTCATTCCCAGTAAACCTGAAAAAGTTAATGCTATCAAGATAAACACAGTGTTTTTTTTGTGTTCTTCCCATAGGTATTTCCCTGCATTTCTTTCCAGTTCATTTTATTGTAAGCATCAAATTGACATCTTGACAAGTGGAAAAGTATTCTTGTCTGACATTTTGTACAATCAAAATGCTATGTTTTACTTCATGGAGGTCAGTAACTTCTTCTCGTGTATACTGTATATAACTAACATATATTTACATAAAGGTTGATACCACAGGCAACACGAGATAAGGTAATTTACATGTAGTCAGGGACATTCAATAGAACCTCCATTCAGGGGACATATTTGGAACCAGGAATAGTGTAACCTTATAGAGGTGGCCATCCAGGTCAAGTATTGCAAACTAAAAAATAGGTACCCAATGGGTACTTGTGTCTGCTGCAATGGAATGGAAAAGAATATCTTTACAGATGGCAGTTCAATGGGCTAATACTTAGCCATACCTGAATTTGTGAGAACTCTCAGTTTGGGGAAACTTATGCTGGATTATTTCAAGGATATCTATAAGCGCTGATGGTTTATTTTGTTGTGGAACTTTATTCTTTACTAAGTAATTAATTATGACATGTTCTATGCAGCCACTCTTGATTGTTGACACTTTTTATTTTTAAAAGATATTTTTTCAGCAGCAGGGTTTGATTTTCTTATTTTAGCAGCTGCGAAAGCATTGTGTTTATATCACAGCTGGTCACAGCAACTACAAATATATAATGGGCCCTGGGACGCAGTGTTATGGAACCTTGCGGCTATTAAAGTGCCACTGAAACGAAATTTTCGTATTCTCTTTTATTATCCCAATCTATAGTTTCAAACGTGCTTAAAGTAATGATGAGCTTTATTTCTGTCAAATCTTAACGGAAAGTGCTTTTTTTAGCTGTTGAAATCGACTTTTTGGAGCAAAACTGTGTCCGGGCTCTGGAACCGAGTTAAGGACCTTGTGACGTCACTGGTTGTATTCACGCAAGAAGCGGTATAGATTCTCTCTTGTTTTCACTTGATTTGTTCAAGTTTATTCTTCATATTGTCGATATCTACTAATTTTCTACCTTGTAATTTCTGTCCAGCCTTGACAGGTAATACACATCATAAACGTTGGAGGGCGCCAGAGAGTGTAGATTCACCAAAATAAATGCTACAGATTAGAACAGCTCAGTATACTTCTCGAACATCTTGANTTTTCAGCGCGGCATGAGAGTAATACAACCAGTGACGTCACTAGGCTGTTTTGGCCGTGCCAAAATGGCCGCCAATTTTGGGCTTAACCAGCCAACTTTGAACGGCTGAAAAAGCAGTTTTCGCTTACCGTATGCGAAAAAAAAGTTTGCAGTGTTTCCAAGTAAGGTTGAAACTTTATTACTAAGCAAATATCTCACATACAAAAATTTCGTTTCAGTGGCACTTTAAGGCAGCCATGTTTTGTTTTTTTCTTTCTTCAGGGCTTGACATTGCAACCAATACGGTCGCATTTGCGACTACCTATTTTCCTTTTGCTCCTCAGTTGCAACTCTTACCAAAAATTAAAAGCAGATATATAAAAATTTTAATTGTTTTGTGTCCTAGTTGTTAGGGAAATTTGAACATCTGTGGGCAAAATACTGCCTAATTTACCTTTGACTTGTTCAATCAGATGCCATTTCAGTGGTTTCTATATAAATATGTATCGCTGGCACATATTTTGCTGTTCGGTCCGCTCGCAAAACAAACATGGCAGGTCACTCATGTCAAGCGTGTTTGTTGTTGCAAAGATTTACAGATTTCATAACGATGTACCTCAACAGTTTTAGCTGATTATGCTACCCCGATTTGAAGCCATAGATAGAGCTTAACAGAACATGTGTAAAGAAAGTGTATCAGTGTATCGTCTAAGGTAAAGAATTGGGAAATGTATGTATCAACGGGTCCCCATGCAGCTAATTTTCCAGGAGTTGCAAGTTTGTTTTTATCCAATTAAGATGGGATAAGTTCCAGGATTGTATCTGTTCTTGAAGTCGTGGATATCTTTAAATTTGAATGCAAATTTCATTTAGTTTTGTATGGGGTTAAATGTTTGTAGATCAAGTGAACAGTGAACAATCTTTCATGTTCGTTTAAGGTTACGTGCATGCTGTAAGTTTATACATTCATGATCCATTTGAAATGACATAACAGCTGTTGAAATAATAAAGTCAGAGCCTTGTTAACCATTTTTAATATTAATGTGATTTTCAATATTGTGATTTTTAACAATCAATTTATGTTTATTTGGGGCTTAAATTTTTGAACTTGCAACTGACTTTTCACAACTTTTGCAAAATGGCAAATAAACATTTTTTTTTAATTTCAAGCCCTGATTCTTGCTTTCTGACATTCAGTGTTTTCATTCTCTTTAGTGGTTAAATTTTGCTTATCATTGTTATATTTATAATTCAGTCTCTTTTTACTAGTCTTTCTGGTATTTCTGTAGTAGTTCATGTAAGAATTCCATTTTTTACTGCTCATGAGTCTTGGATTTGCGTTTATCATTTTCACCGCTTGTGGTGCTTATTGCAATGTTCTTCAGATGTGTTTTCTTTTTCTACTAACTGTATGTTCTTGTCCAGAAAGAACATTTTGCTCTGTGAAACTGAAATCACAATAGCCATTCAATGGTGCTCATTTCCCAAGTAAGAGCTATTTGGTACTGTTGATACATAACATACTTCATTTATATTACATGAGCTGTATAATTTATAAACTGCTCCTGTTTGCTGCCATTATGTATGATGTGGCTCTATCAAAGTCACCAGTCCAATATTTATGCGAGATTCTACAATATAAATTTGTATATTTAGTGATTCTGCAACTGCTTGTATAATTAGTGCATCACACCATGTACCTTGCATTGACATACTTACCAAGTAACGATTCCATGAATTCTGAGTATTGCTTTCAATGAAACGTTCAGGGTTATCACTGAGGTATTAAACAACAGCTTGTAAAAGTGATGATTATCAAATGATTGATGTGTACAAACCTTTCTGGTGAAGAATTTTTTCTTCCTTCAACTGCCACGAAAACATGACAATCGGAGCACTTTCAAAAAAACTTTTGAATACAGATCGTGGATTTAAAGCAGCTTCCTGGACTTTAGGTATTTTTCCTTTCTATTTTAAGTCCCAAAGTAGTAATTTCTACATGTTAGGAACGAAAAAAAGACCTTGGAAGTTGGTAGATTTGGTCCGCAATGCACCATGATTACCAGTCCTGTACTTTTCAAGCACACAATTTTAAGATGAAAAACCATCTTTCTAGGACCCCTTAAGTTCTATAGAAATATGCTCAGTAAGTCGATTCTCATTGGTTTATTTGTCCTCGAGAACAATAGAACAATAAGAAAGCCAAAAGGTTTTCAGGGAGGGTAGGAAAGACAATTGTCCCCACATGCTTTTTTTCGGGCAGTTACGGGCAGCACGGGAAATAGGAGGGGTTTTTCACTCGGGCGGTTACAGATGGTACTGGAGTCAGTGGGTTAATAAGGGTGCTGGTTATGAGCTTGAAGTTCTGTGTAAATTTATCTTCAATGGCGACAGAGACACTTCAGTAAAAGACCCAATGATACATGTAATACTGAAAATGGCCTGCGTAGCAAGGGTTCCCTTAGGAAGAGCTTTTCCGCATTCTGCCTGCACATAAATTAGGGTGGCACGTAAATTGGAGTGAGAGCAAACACTCAACAAAGCAGGGGGTGGTGGGGGTGAGAGTGGGAATACTTGCCTGCAAACCCCTCGATTTTGAGAAACCCGTTCGCCCACAAACAGGGCTCCTGATTGGTGCAGCATGGTCATCTGGATTGACAAGTGTATAAGGTTCACTTGAATGATTCCAGGAATAACTTGAGTGTGACTTGCACAATGATGTGGAAGAAGGTTTGTGATTTATTAGACTTGACGTGGATGGTACGTCTTCAATTTTACCCAGAAGACACCATATTTAAGAGGGCAAATACTTGGTGGCTCTATTACGCGCTGGATTCAGCGAAAGTCTTTCAGCTGCTGTTTTAATTATTGATCTTAACAGGAACCAGGGAAGGAGAACCAATCTTTGATAGTCTCATTTGACAACCTCACTTAGCTTTACTGAGTCATTTTTTGTGTCCAGGTAATGTGAGACCGAATTTTAGAAGCTGGCGACTGGTTGTTGTATACTCTGCAAAAGCAAATTTACTAGGGCTGACAATTTTCAAATGAAGGCTTCCGATTTCCACACAGTTCTATAATTCAACAGTTAAATACTTTTTAGCAGCAAAAGAATTAAATGACTAATGAACGGTTAGAGTTAATCCACAGGAAAAGCTGGTCTTAAGCCAAACATCTGACTTATTGCCCTCCAAATGAGTATGTACATACATGTAGCACTATTATGATTTTAGCTCAGTGACAAACTTGTCAATCAATAAATGGACTCAACGGTGAAACCCAGTAGGCGTTTTTCAAAATCAAGGGGCTTGCGGGCAAGTGTTCCCTCTCTTGCCCCACACCCCCCTCTTACTTCGTCAAATGTTTGCTCTCACTCCAATTTATGTGAGTCAGAATGTGGAAAAGCTCTTTGTATGCGAACGCTTGCTACGCAGGCTATACTGAAAGTGCAGGTTTGTACAAGGTTGTCCAAGACTGAAGCCAAAATGTCACAACGTCTCAGGCTATGTATTCTTTTCAAACAAACTGCTGAAACGAACTCAAACCACCTTTGCCACTTTGACTTTGGAAGATAAAGCAGGCAATTATTTGACCTCTTCAAGCCTGGTTATATCATTTTTTGATGCACAGTACATGTACTTACATGTATTAAAAAGGTCACATTTTTAAGGCTGTTGTCACTTGTGATTTTTGTACTCCAATCATATCAAGCTTCATTGACGGTGTTCCAGTCACCCGAATGGAGGTGTCCCTTTGGTAAAGGTAGCAGTGCCTTGACTTGCCACTTTTAAAATCATTTTAATCATCTTTGTTACTTCAATTGACAGTTCCTGGAGCAAGAAGGGATTCGACATATGCTGGAGTTCTGGTTGACTGCAGATAATTTTCAGTTTCATTTAAAATCACAAATGGAGACTGGCCAGTACAATGCACAACATGCTCTGGATGATGCTATGATCATTTATGACAAGTGAGTGTTTCTATTGATTCCACCCCCAAAGGATCCGCATTTTACAACAGTCACATTTTATGTTTTACTTTTAAGTGATAGCTTGCATGATGCATAATCCTCTGGGGCAAATAGAGGATTTAGAGAATAGGGTTTGAGATACCAACCTTTGAAGGCAGACCTGGTGGGGGGCCTGGGGCATCTCCCTCATGAAAATTTTTAAAATTGAGATGGATTTCCCACATTCTGGGGCCAAGTCCGCATGTTATAATGTCTCATTAAAGTCAAAGTCACCTAGACACGAGGGTATAGAGTGAGTTTGGTACACTTTACCTTTGCTTTACTTTCTAACATCAGCTGAGCACTGCTTTGGTAATATGGCAGAGAAACGATCATCATTTGGTGTTGTTGCACGCCAGGTTACGATGACGGGAATTGAATGTATGAACGTATATATCTTTTTTGGAGGAAAGGTGTTTTTGAATGAGGATTTAAATTGTGGAAATCCGACAGAAATCACTGAAACCAGCAAAAACGTTAACTTGCGGTGGAACTAGCCAGAGCTGGCTCGTTTCAGTGGCGAAGTGCTGCTTCCACCAGTCCATGTATGGCGATGCTGACAAATCTAAGGTTACTGCATATTGTCACTGAGTTGTTCCTTGTTGTTTTACACGATATTACAATGCAGGGAACTGAAACTATGATCTGAATTTTTTTTTGTGGGGGGGGAAGGTGTTTTCAAATATGGATTTAGACTGTGGAAATACGAACAGAAATGTCGAAATCAATGAAAATGTGACTTTGAGGAGGAACAAACAAGCTTTTAAAGAATTCTTTCCAATTGCTTAAATTGGAAAATTTACTGCGATGATCATTCTTTGCTTTCATCTACAACCGCAGTTCAAATATGAATTATTTCATATATACTTCATATCACTTCTCTCCTCACAGGAAGATATGAACTCAACTAATTGACCTCACTCCCAATGTGTGGCTTCATAGCTCAGTTGGTAGAGCATCGCACCAGTATCGCGGAGGTCACGGGTTCGAATC